AACAAAATATATGTAAAAATTAATTTAAATCACAAGGTCTTCAGCTTGTTTCTGTATGAGGTTTAGTTGAATGAACAAATTAGAGAGAATCTTTGATGAGAAATCAAATAAAGACAACAGTTTATCTTGATCCTTTAAAATTTCAGAAAGGGTCTCTTCATTGAATTCCAGTACTTGTAAATCTTTCTTAAGCTTGACAGAGTTGTTTTAAAATATCTGGCCACGGCTGGAATTGAAGAAACCGGCGTCAGAATATCAAAGTGTTTGAATATTGAACTCGGGTTTTGGAAGTGTTCAAACATGTATGCGTGTGTTTTTTGTTTGCGCTGCAGATTACTGGAGTTCATGCAAATGCCAAGTCCGTGACAGTGATGATCCGTGGGTCCAACAAGCTGGTTCTGGAAGAAGCCGAAAGGTCGTTGCATGATGCCCTGTGTGTCATTCGTTGTTTGGTAAAGAAGCGGTATGTCTAATCATTATTTTTTAAAATTTCGATTTAGTTGATGTTTCAAAGATCACGAATTTTGGTCAATTGTTTTCCCGTTTGAATGAATACTTGAGTCTCCCCTTTTCTTTTTTTATCGATTATCTTTTGCGGTTTTTTTTTTTTTTTTTTTTTTTTTGCGGAGTTTCTCTTTTTTTTTTTTTTTTTTTTTTTTTTTTTATTGTTTTTTTTTTGCGGTTTTTTTTTTTTTTTTGCATTATTAGCGAAGTTTCTCGTGTGAAGGATTTGAAAATTGGTCTTCCGAAAATTTTCGAGCTTTCCTGCTGACATATTTACTTCCATTTTATTTATACACTCCTCAAAGCGTCGTGTAAATACAGTGGGGCTCCGAGATGCGGACGTGATCTCGGTGCTTGGACATCGTCCCTTTGTCGGAGCGTTCTGTTCATCTTTCGGATCACGTTTCCCCATCGACTTCAAAGGGAACATATTTTAAAATTAGGAATGAAGTCCCGTGAAAAATTGAATGAAAATTTTTTTGCTCAAACCCAAGGTACCGAAAATGAGTGTGCCAAAGAAAACGACGCAGAATCTGATCTTTTGGCATCAGAAAGAGCTTGGGAAGCAAAGAAGGATAACTTTTCTAGAAAGTCTAGCTTTTCTGTCAAAAAACTCTGAAAAAGATGACCGAAAAATTAGCCAGTTTTTGCTCATGAATTGTTGTAATTTTGTGATGAAATCTATTTCCTTTTATTTTTGTGAGTTTGAATACAGCTCGGTTTGTTCAACAAATGCAAATTTAGAAAAATTGAATTATAAAATTTTTTAGAATTGCTGGAAAAGTGTCTGAAACCTCGAGACATCGTCCGGATGTCAGGGCAGATTTTTCAGAAATAATTTAAACTGTCCCTAAGTCGAATCGTTCGTATGTCGGGGTCCCGACTGTATTAAACATTTCTGAAACAAAAAAAAATAGGAGAACTTACTTGATTGGTTTAAATTTTATCCTTCGTTGATCCGCTGTATTCAGGGCTATGATTGCTGGTGGAGGTGCCCCGGAGACAGAGATCAGTGTGCATTTGGCTGAGTATGCACAAACCGTTGCGGGCATTCAATCTTATTGCATTAGGTGAGTCTTTTGGTGTTTGTTGTTCATCACATTGTTGTGACCGAAAAATGTCATGAGAGGAGAATAACTTATTTTTTTCTTTTCTCCAGAGCATTTGCTGAGGCCATGGAAGTGATTCCGTTTACTCTTGCGGAAAACGCCGGTCTGAATCCAATCGCCACGGTGACCGAGTTGAGAAATAGGCATGCCAAGGGGGAAACCTCTGCCGGAATCAACGTCCGAAAGGCGAGTGATTTAAATGGAAAATATGTAAATGTTTGTTGCAGGATCTCAGGAAATACGAGGATATTTTAAAATTTTATTTATCCGACACGTTCGACGCATTTAAATAAAAATCGTTCCCAAGGAGTAAAGCAGCAAGTACGAGTATAAATTTATCTTTAAACCCCACTTTCTGCCCAGAAAAAGAAAAAAAATGTCAAGCTGGAACTTTTTTTTTCAATTTGTGGAATTGATTTTCATCATTTTGGAAAATTTTATCTGTATTTACTTGATCATTCGCTCTTTTTTCTGAAATTCGAGAAGAAAAAAAAGGGGGTGTTCGTCATACGTGGGTATACGTTTTTGAAAAAGTTTTAGACCTTCACGTGTGTATTATGCAGTGTATCATTCTGATTAGAAATGTTAGGTCATTTTCAACGGAAAAACTTATTTTGATGGAAACAATAGAAAAGAATTCTGATTCAATTTCAAATTCACGTCCAAACTCCGATTCGAGTGTTCTTAAATTTTGAAGTGCTGTATTGCAGTTTCAGAGTCACTAAAAAATGGGGTTAGCGTCTTGCATAGGGTTACAATTTCATCAAAATTTTCAACCAAGAAAAACTCCGGTGCGCTTCTTACCCGAGGGCATGTCGAAATCGGGTAAATATGGTACTGTCCTCACACAACTTTACTTACCTATTCCTGCAATGCAAACTCAGCTGGAAAGCTGAAAAAGGAAGATTGTCGAAGTGATTATCCGATTAATATGTGATGTATTGGGAAAGAAAGTGCATTTAAAGAGAAGCAGAAAAACAAGCATGAACATACTTCCACGTTTCCTGAATATCGTCCGAAGGATATTTAATTTTTGCGAGAAAGTGTCCTGAAATTTACGATGAGGCTTTTTTCTTATATGAATGTCAGAACTCTTGAAATTACAGTATCTTCGTGAGCAGCAGCTTAAAACTTTCTTACGAAAACATTGTCAGAGATCTTCGAAAAACGGTTTTATTGGCTGAATACATTTTAACCTTGCTTTTTTTTTTTATTAGGGGACGGTGACGAACATTCTGGAAGAGAACGTTGTGCAACCTCTTCTGGTTTCCACGAGTGCCGTTACTCTTGCTGCTGAAACGATCCGATCCATCATGAAGATCGACGATGTGGTAAATATATACTGTATTTCAACTACAGTAAAATTTCGTTACAACGAACTCCCAGGGACCTGATCACAAATTCTTTATGACCAAAAATTCGTTGTAATGAGAGTCATGGTTTTTACCAGATTTTAGATTGAAATCCCAAGAAAAGTGTGACGTTGAGTTTTTTTGTGAACAATATTGTTTCTCCTCAAAGATTTTTTTTGGTTTTCGAAAGAAGTTGGAATTTTGCTCCGTTTCAATTTTCTTCCAATTTCAGCCATTTTTGAATAATCCCTGCGGCCTATGCGTGAAATCAGGGCCACGAATTCGTTATACTGAGACTACAGCCTTAAAAATCAATTTTTTTGTGAGATTTCTATCAAATGGCGCCTCTGGGATAACTACCAGGACCCAAGAAAACATTTGGTACAGTGAGACCCTCCACATGCAGACACCTTAACCAGTAGACAATTTGGCATAGGGACACTTATTTTCCCATCAACAATTAATAAAAAAGGCCATACATGTAGACACTGACTCAATATATGGACATTGTGTGATAAAATTGCGAATAAGTTTCAGGCCAAATTACAAGAAACAGATATTTCCAACCCAAAAATTGATGAAAGAAAAGTTCTTGGGCATTTCTCTCTCACCAATTTGCCATCCATTTAGCTAATTTAAAAAATTACCTCCAGCATAGAGGGACTTCCTCCTCTCTTTTTCACTTGAATGTTATTTTTAACAGAGAATGCCAACATTTCTATGTACTGTACCAATGTATCAGTTCCCCAAATGTCCATATTGTGTTGAAATATATTGATTGAATCAGTTTAAGTTGGGAGGTAGTTTTTATTTTCATGGAATTATGGTGAGTATTTTGTACCTAAAACACCAATTAAAAATTATATGATGTGAGTCTAAGGGAAAATGAGACTTGACTTAGGGACATTCCAACTTGAGGACACTCTTGATGCACTAATTACATCCGCATCTCAGGGTCTCACTGTATAATGAAAAGTTATTTTAAACGAGACTCGTTGTAACGAAACTTTACTGTACTACGTCTATAAACATTTTTCAAAATGTTTTGGGCTTACACGTTATCGCCCTGTGCGTAGTCCTTCTTATTGGAAATATCACGGGTTGTATCGAGTGTTGTAATGCGAAATATTTACGTATTTTCGCTCATTTTCCTCGCAGGTGAATGTGGTCAACTGAGGTGTTCATCGAACAAATTCAGAGACGAAAAGAGAAGCGAGAGAACTCACAGGACGGCCGAAGTCGCTGGAGCTTCACGCATTAATCTCATCTTTCACTTGTTTCTGTTCTAAAAATTCGCAGGAAAAATTTAATTAAAACCAGCGTCGGGCCGAAAAAGCATGTTTTAATCTCATTCAAATGATTGTGGATGTGATTCGTAACGATTGTTTGAATTGTGATATTTTGTATCTGCTTTTCTCGAAGGGGGTCGCACGGGGGACTCGGGGGTTCACAGATGCAAGACGAAAGAGAGTGCGCGTATTGTGACGACAAGAGTGTGTTCAAGTCTCGTGCGGAGTTTATGCAGTGAGTATTTTTTTTCTTTCGTGTTTATTTCGATCCCAGCGGTAATTTTCTTCAGAATACCGTATATTTCGGACATTTTGAAGAACCCTCTGTCAATCTCTGCAATATTGCTCAGAGGACCGAAAAGTGATGCTCTATGTTTAGAAGAATATAACTTTGGGATGTCTTGCGTATCTACCTTGTTTACTCGAAGATTTATTAAATTTACCTTCGTAACGCACCATTCGGGAATTTTAGCCTGTGAAGCGTAGAACAAATTTTGAGTAGCATATTTACGCTAATTTACAGTGAAATTACATGCATGTGACGTTTAAGATATCCTTGCGAACACTGCATTGCTTCTTGAAGGGAGAACCACTTCGAATTTATTCCAAGATGGATGCTTGAATAAGGTTGTTCTAGGTTGTTGCGACTGTACAGTGAAACCCCCACATGTAGACACCTCGACATGGGGACAATTTGACATAGGGACATTTATTTTAAAAAATCATAAAAAAGGACCAACATATGGACACTGACTCAACATGAGGACATTGCATGATGAAATTGACTTTTATTAGGCTTAATTTCAAGAAACATGTATTTCCAACCCTAAGATCTATGCAAGAAAAATTCTTTGGTGCTTTTCTCATTACTTCCCCATCCATTCAGCTAATTAAAGAAATCACCTATAGCACAGAGGGACTTCCTTCACTCTTTGTGACTTAGATGTTATTTTTACAGATGCCAACATTCCAATACAGTACAGTGGTATAACTAATTCAATGCTCCAAATGTTCTTATTGGGTTGAAAATATGTTCACTGAATCAAATGCAAGTGGAAAAATTTTTTTTCATGGAATTCTGAAGAATATTTCTTCCATAAAACACCAATGAAAAATTTTATAATGTAAGTCTAATGGAAAACAAGACTTGAANTTAAGGACAATTCAACTTAGGGACATGCGTGATGCACCAATTATGTCCTCATTGGGGGGTCTCACTGCTTTTCATGAGACCCACACTTGGTTGAAAGAAGGAAGTCACTGTGACTTTTCCATTTCAGTCACCCCTTGATTTGTATTTTTCAACAAATTTCTGTGGAAAAAATCTGTCTTGATTGTGTTCTTGATTCAGACCCTGATTCAGTTTCAAATCATTTGGTGCCACAAAAAAGTCCTCGTCATTGATGGAAAATGAGCCAAAATATAAGAAAGTAAGGCCTTTTTCAGGTACAGTTGAACCTTCCTGAGTCAAACCTCCCTAAGTCAAATACCTTTCTAATGCACATTTTTTTCAAGTCTGTGTCTGCATTAAAAACCTTCCTAATGTAAAGTCATTTTCTCTCAAACCTCTGGAAGTGACTTCTTCTGAGGCCTTTTGGCTATTATTTCCTAAAAATTTGAAAGCCAAAATCAATGAAACAAATGATTTTATGCATCTTGAAATGAAGTGAAAGACTAATTGAACAAATAAATCCCTGCCTCCAAGTTCATCAAGCTGTATACTCAGTAAGAAGCAATTTTAGGCCCAGAATATCCTCATTTACCATTTCCCGCGATTATTTTATTTTATTTGCCATCTTGCGACTCAAATTTAAAACTAATTTCAATTTTCAGACATTTGCGGTCGTCACACTGCAGCCGCGAAGGAGGCTCGTACGTTTGCAAATACGGCTATAACGGGGTGTGCGCTTCGTTGCCCGTGGAAGGCGTGGATGACAAGGACTACGAGCAGCATGTGTGCAAACAGCATCTCGGCCCAGACTCGTCTTTTGCCAATTCTCGCCGTCGATCCAGCGTTTTGTCCTTGTCGGGAACTGCGACTGGCTCCACGCGGTCCTGGACCCTTTATTCCGCGTCTCAGAACCTCGCCACGGTGCTCAACGATCCCAACAGGGGGAAACAGGTGACAAGATTTGATTGTCTCTGGAGAAATGCGAAGAAGAGCGTCGTAGTTGATCAGTCTGGAGTTCAGATTGCAGAGGAAAAGACTTCCCACTTTTGAACGAAATGCTTTTGATGAATCAGCAGTGTTGAAAGGGTGAAAAAAATAGTTGCTTGGAACTGTCTCAAACTGTCCCTGTCTCCAAAAAAATGTACGTTTTTGTTGTTGTTGAACTGGTTCCAAAATTTCCCATTAGAATTGGACCTCAATAACTTGAACCTTGCCAAGTCAAATACCTCCCCAAGTTGAATTTTTTTCAAGTCCCTGTTTGAATTCCCTTGGAAATAATGCATTAGAAAACCTCTCCAACTTGAAGCCTTTTCCTCTAAATCCTTGGTAACTCAAATTTTCTTAGGCCTCTTGGCTATCAATTTCTTGACCCAGGAAAGAGAAAAGCATTGAAAAAGTAACTTGATGTGATTTGAAAGTAAGTGAAAGACTATTTGGAAAAATGAACCCTTGTCTTGGAGTTCAGCATCCTGTCAACTCATTTAAAAAGCAATTTAAAACCCACAATATCACCGTTTACAATTTCCAGCAAATTTTATTTCTTTCCAAGAACAAAAATACTTGTTTCCTCAACTCAAAACCTCCATCAGTGGAATTTTTCTGCTGGTCCTTTGAGATTAAAATGTCACTATTAAATACTGTAACTAAAAAACCCAGCCTCCGTTGCTTTCCGAACAGGTCCTTAAAATCCAGAATATCACCATTTACAATTTAAAAACCTCCCTAACTAGAAATCTTTTTCTCTCAAACCTGTAGAAGTCAAATTTTCTGAGGCCTTTTGGTTATTATTTCCTTGAAATATGAAAGAGAAAATCAATGAAACAAATGATTTTATGCATCTTGAAATGAAGAAATGAACCCCTGCCTCCAAGTTCAGCAAGCCGTAAACTCATCAAGAAGCAAGTTTAGGCCAAGAATATCCTCATTTACAATTTCCTGCAATTTTTTTTACTTATCTTCTCAGCAAAATGATTGTTTCTACCTCCAAAAATCAAAGCCTCTGTAAGTCAAATTTTTTTGCTAGTCCCTTGAAATTTGACTTGGAGAGCTTCAACTTATGATGCTCACCTTAATTTCTAAATCTAAGCAAAAAATCATGTCCAACTACAACGTGCACCCCCATTTCATTCTCCTCAAATTTGAAAAGAAAAAGCAGTGGAATTATGCGCATGGTGCTTGAGTAAATATGGTGATTTTTTTTTTTACAATGCCACCTTGAGGGAAATCGCGTTTCGCATTACGAAATTTCCGTATAAAGAAAGTAAAAAAAACACACCTGGGAGTGTGTATTACAGTAGTTTCATTTTGTAGAGCACAGGGACCCACTGTATTGGGGAAAAATTACTATTCTAACCTTCTCGTCTCTTTTCTTCCTTCCGACAGAAAGACCTGTTCACGAAAACATGGGGCGAGTCTTTTGTGGAGAAGACGATGGTGTCGCCGAGTCCGCTTTTGGAACCAGTTACCATAATGGACCTTGCGCCGTACCTGCGCAAAAACTCAAAGCGGTATCGCAAACTCTTGAAACGCAAAGCGCTTTTTTCGCCGAATGTTTCTGCGAAACCGACGGCCGTGCCCGCGACCAGCGACCACGTTGATCTCCCGAAAGTGGACCAGTTGGTGCAGATTTTCCCGAAGCTTTCCTCGCTTAAAGTTCATGAAAATGGTACTGTGCGGTTTTTTCCGCGGAAAATTACGTTGAACGCAATTTTTATGTTTCTCCCCAAGAAATGGGTCTGCTTATTTATGCACTAAAATGGGGTTAATAGGAGGGGGATACATTATGGAGAATTTCACGTTCAGTATTTTGATACTCTAACCAAGTGGTGCCCAACTCGAAAGTGGTCAAGGGCCACATTGAAAAGCAAGCCTTCTCTTAATGCCACCATGGTAAAAATTAATAAACCCCTCTAAAATTTTCAAAATTTTGTACTCCTTCGAATTTGAACAAGTCCCTCCATTTTTTTTCAGGAAGCTTGGCAATTTCTCAGAGTAATTTATCTTGCTCAAGTCTTTGTGTTCAGATTTGGCAGCAAAGATTGTATTCCTTGGAAACTGAACTTTTTTTCATGACAAACAAGGCAAAGCATTTGGCTGTTGAAGATTGTGAAGAAATATTTGCTTGTCCATTCTTGATTGAACAATCTGCATTAGCTGTCAATTTTTTGTGTGTCACTGCTTTCAGCCATTTTTTTTTCAAAAGTAAGCTAAGGCAATTTTGTAGGGATGGTCTGCCGTTGAGTTTGAAGACCTCCAAGGGCCAGATGTGGCCTGCAGGCTGTATTTTGGGCACCCCTGCAGTCTTACCTTTCTCATTGGAATGCTATTTTTGGGGTCAGATAGAAGAATGGAATTTAAGTCCAGGAAAGTTGGACAATTTTGTGTGTATTGCAGAAGAAAATAATGCATCATCATCCCATTGTTGATTGTTGAGTGATGAATTGTTTTTTGTTCGATTTCGATAGTGATTGGTGACCTGAACTCGATTCCTGAAATTTTCCATGGGAGTGACTTCGATTTGTCTCGACTGGACCAGTTCGAACGCGTTTTTCCGGAGAACAGAAATGCGAGCAAGTTGGTCCAAGAACAGGTGTGTTGTTGCAGTTGATGTTGGTTTTTTGATTATTAATTTTTCATGAAGGAGGAGACGATGTTTAACAAAATTAATACAATCGAACCTCTTTTTAGTTGTATTTCAAGCCAAACAAAAATCGAGTTTGGGAGATTTTGAGTTAGGGTAACGAGCATTTTCGTTGGGAGAACGGAAGAATCGCAGGAAAATGTAATTGGTGATGATCTGGGCGTTGAATTGAACTCAAAAATTGTCATCTCAAATTGAAAATTTCTCAAAATGTTTCTGTCTGGAATTGTGCCCGTGTTTAAATTTTTAATGGAATTCAACTTGTCTCAAAATGTGTGTGTCTTTAATGTTTCCTTCTCTAAATTTGTCACTGTCTCACGTTGTCGGTCTCAAATTTTTTCCATCTCAAATGGCACCTGTGTCAAAATTGTCATCTTTTCAAACTACCTTAGATCCAATCTAAATATTGGGAGATGTTCGCCCCTTTTCATTATTTTTGAGTTGAATAAATTCACCAGAATGACTGCAGAGCAGAAGGCTCCCTCAGGAAGTTTCCTCCAAGCTTTGTGTGTGATGTAATGAAGATCAAATCTTCTACTTCTTCTTTTTGGAAGTGACGAAACAAGTGACGGGAACCGCTTTTATTTAATTTACAGTTGTCTCATTATTTGGACATGGTCGAGATCAACATCGCTGCGCAAATTGCGCAGAATTCGGAGGCCTATTTCAAAACCATGTCATGTCACGATGTTCTGATGGCGGACTTGAACACGACCACCTCGAAAGTCAGAGTGCTACGTGCGGAAATGAGCCGCCTTCGGAAGACTCTGGTTGAGGGGCCCATGCAGATCATTGCACTTTTCCAGCAACGATCCCGAGCGGCTGTTTTGCTTAAAACGGTGTGTGGAAGAACATTTTTTTCTTCTTTGAATAGAAAAGCACATTTTATTTTTCCGCATTCTCGTTTTTTTGTTGATGTTGTTACGTGACCCCAAACATTTCAAGATGTTGAGGAATGCAAGACGCGTATTTTTTTTTTTTTCAAAAATTAGTGGAGTTCGAATTCCGCTTATTTTTCAATTATAAGTTGGAACTTCTGAAAATTTTGGTTTTTTTGAAAATTTAAAGTTGTTGTAGAGAACCTTGTTGCGTCAAGATTAACGTGTGCAAAATAATTTGGATTTCCATAGTATTTGAAAGGTGAAGAAGAATTTTGTGCAGTTAACCAATGTCAGTTGTGTCATACTTTCTATTCAAGGCCGTAGTTTCGTATTGGAGGATTGTGCAGGAAATGTTTAGCGAGCAGAAAGTCAGTGAGGAGGAATATGCACTCAAAATTGGGTTTCTTTTCACTCCCGATATTTTATTTCCGAGATGTCAGTAAAAAGGTGTCACCTTTAACCGTTGATCTAGGAGACGTAAAATTAATTTCGAGCGACATCTACGTGAAGATTTTATGATTTGTGGAGTCAGGGACATGAAGTCGTGAACCGAAAAAATCCGTGTTGGATCTTTTTTTTTTTCAAATAATCAATAGCTTCACGAATTCTGGAGATGGTTCTTCCGAAATTGTCTGAACAACTCCCCGTTTTTAATTTCTTCAGCGATCAAGTTTGTTTATTATATTTTGTTTCTTACTACAGTACCACGATTTTCCCCGTATAACGAATTTTCAATCTGGTCCCATGGGGTTCTCTACAACGAAATTTGTCTGGTCCCCTGGATTTTGTTTTGTATGGATTTCACCCGCATTTATTTTCTTACGTGCCGTGTCAAACTAGAGCCAAACGTTTCAAGTTGAATAAATATTCCTGTAGGGATTTTTTTTTTAAAGCAATCAAAAAGCGTGTCTGAGTAATTTTTTTGCTTTTCTCTCAGTTGAAGGTGATGAGAACCGTGCACCAAACCCAAGGAACTGTGCAGCTTCTTTTGGCTACTTCTGATTTTGTCGGAGCCTTGGATCTTATCGCCACTACTCATGATGTGCTTGAAGAAAACTTGAAAAATTTGCGATGTTTTAGGTATGTGTTAATCTGCTTCTTCTCACTACAATACTCTCTCTGTCTGCTATTTGGGACAGATTTATCCTGAACCTCAACCTTCACTAATATAACCAACAGGAACCGAGTGAATTTGATCTACCGTATATTTTTATCATGAAGACGGGCGTAACCAAATGAGAGCGACATCTATGTATCTGAGAAATAATCTGGGGTTGAATGCTTCGAACATCAGTGACAGAACGTTTTAAAGTTGTAGTACCGTAAAAGTGATGGAGTGGTAAATGATTGTTTGAGTTGGGGTTGCACAGCTTCTGAATTCTCCTTCAGGTCTTGTCCAATATTTTTGATTATTTTGCGTATTATATCGAACATAGAACAAAAAACTAAATTCTTTCCAACGAGCAGTTCGACGTTTTTTTTACCTTCTCTTTTTTCGGATGGTCAGGAAAATCAATTCACCTTTCTCAAAAGCAACTTTCGTTCCGTTGGAAAAATGTTTCATCTTTGGAGGAAAATGTTATGAGACACTGTAATTTCCTCGAGACTTTAATTTTTGAAGCTAATATTGATTAAATGATGTATTTGTTGGGAATGTTTTAAGAATAAATACAAAGGTTTGAATCAATGAAACTAAGAAATTTGGTTGGGCTGCGACCAGGGTGAAACTTCACCCTAGTACAAAGTTGTATCGATTAGTTGTATCGATTATTAGAGATTCAAAAGTACAAGTAAAAACTCGCAAATTTGCTCAAGTGTCGCGTATGAGAGCTTGGAATGGAATGATGAAAAAAGGAAAACTATCCTTCAGGGATAAATAACAGTTTCGAGAAATAGGCATTCAAACCGGATTTTTTCCCGGTTCTCACAAATATTTATGAGGACAAGTTTTCCAAGAATTTGAATTCTTGAGTTTGTTAATTTAGCATAAAAAATTATACCTTATCATTTATTTTCGCAACGGTGGTGACAAATTATT